TCGGATGCCCCTCACTCTCCGATTTTCTGTGACACCACTTATCAACTAAAGAAAGAACGCAATGATTATGTTGTTTCTCTGGCTGAACATTATATGGAAAGGATGTGTTTTGATAGCTCCTCTAGGTGAGAGTAGAATCAGTTATTTTCTTCTATTTGTGTTCTCTTTTTTGACGGATGAATACGAAAGCGGCAAAAGTAGGATTTTGTGGTCTCATTTGTAAGAGTAATTAGAGGAGGACCCAAGCGGATAAGGAAGTATAAGTTGTGTGAGCTTCGTTTTCAAAAAGTTCGAAGGCGTCGCTGAGTTTTTCTTTCTTGCCAGGTGTCGAGTAAAGAAAATCCTGTTTACTGTTCCTGCCAGGTGTATGTTACGATGATGCTCGTTCTTATTTGGTATTGCTTAACTACAGAGAAAATCTCTAGTTCTTCAGGTCAGCGCAGGTGAATGCTGAAAGGCACAACATGTGGGTAAAAGTAGCGCATCTTACTAACGAGAAATACGCTGACTTGCTCAATCCATTGGGTGTTGAGCAGACGAAGAAACTATTCTGTAACTGCAAGCGACGCCGTCGCTTGCGTTTAGGAAAGTTAGTGAATTTTTATAAACCTGGTAGTTGCTTGACGTCATTTTTTTGTGACTACAATCCAGCATTCGGAGGAGTTTATTCGTTGATTTTAGAAGTGAAGATTCGCCACTGGCATCGCTATCGGGAACTTCCGTTTCGGTATCACCCGATGGGAACACCGTAGATCCCAACATGTCGACAGATGCTATGCCTTCGCTGGACAGTTATCTGACATCTAATGGTGTGTTGGAAGTTCCTGTATAGTCCAGATAGTTGTCAATAGTAACGACAGAAACGCAAATGCCCTTTTCTCTATTAATTTATATCTAGATCGCTTCCTTTTTTCGCTTCAAATAGTCAAATAAAGTTGTGATATGTCTAGAAACTTCTCCACATCCAAGCCTCCAAAGTTTGGTTCACGATCTGGATCTCACTGTAGAAATAAAAGAATTGCGTCGTCAGATGGCCGAACGCGATGCTGAAGTGGCTCGGCTAAAACGGAAAATTGTGGAGGTACAACGATTTTTGCCGGTTGTTTTCTTAGTAAAGTTCTGGGCTATGGTGGTGCACGCTTATCCGCTATCCGTTTAAACTGCTAATTTCTGTAACTAGCATGTTGTGGTGACACTGGTGTTTGCGTTGTCATGGCTGTACAGCTGTTTGGCTACGGCTTGTTTTAGAAGGCTGTACATTGCAAGCAGAATGATACCATTTTTCGTGTTGATTTTGTTGAATGCAAGCGTTCTCTTCCGCTTCGCACCCCGACGCTATAGCGGCATCAGATCTCAGTCTACCAAGAGGCGCGTAATTTATTTTTAGTGCATTTTGCGCCTTCGCTAGAGTCATTCGTTATTCAGTGTGTAGGCTCACTCTGAAGAGTCATCCTTCGACGATGACAAACATGGTCGCTTGACCTCGCCCCATGTGGCGAATCAGCCCTACTTTCGTTGTTCAGATGTTACAGTCATATCAAAAATTTCATTCATTTTCTGGTGTATTTTTAGCAAGCCAATGATTACAAAATACGAATCAATTCGATCGCTGACATCCTGAAGAATGGAACCGACAGAAAAGTCTTCGAAGATATTCGTACCTATTTGAATGTGTCGTAATTGCCTTTGTCCTCATGTGTAGACATTTATCTTACAGCAATATGTCGTATGGGTCACAGAGTCTTGATGAAAGGTTATTTGATTTTCCAAAAAATTACATTTGTTCTGCTTCTGTTTTTCTTTTGCTGATATCTTGAAATCAGTTCTCATAGAGATTTGAAGTTGATTGCATTTATTTTCATAACTTGATGATTTAATTACTTTCATGAGCATTAACCTCATGCGGTAAAACAGCATAAGATACCCATGAGAACAAGCCAATCGACCACATAGTTATCAAGATGTATATGAAGTTCGGAGTAGATTTCCTCCTTTTGTGATATTTTCTCATGGTTTTCAGAGTTTCTCACAGTACATGTTCTCATACTGAAGAAGAGTACGATCTCTAACTACTGGTTATTTGTTTCGTTCACTAAATGCATGTAAAAATGTTATTCTTGTGATTGTTGCTAAAAGTGCTTTTGAAGTAATATTTAGAATGAGGTTGGATTTATACTTTCCAAATTTTGGCCTATACTACAGCCAGCATTGTTTACGGGACCATGCAAAAAGAACGCAATGGGTAAGCCAGATGCAGCGTAAGTTGGTGATGGAGACTGAAAAGGTTCAAGATGTTGGCAACAGGTTAGAACCCCGGACCTAACCATGAGAAAGATCAAAAAACCAAGCCTACAGGCGTCATGAGAAATTGTTTTACCACTTCTTTCGACGTCACCCAGCAATGAAGGAGACGGAAACGCATGTGGGGCTAGGACTAATGAGTAATCTCAAGCGAAAAGCTTTAAGATACAAGGGCTCTCTATTCAAACAAATCTCCATTCCTTTCTGCACTGCCATTTTCTGTAGCCACTCACTTTCCTCCTATTCCCTATTGATCCATTCATTGAAGTGCTTCATATATTGGTTTTTACTAATACCGTGGACTACCCTGGCAAGCGAAGACGTGTAACAGTTGAAAAAATTGTAGATGCTTTTCTAATAGGAAAGTATCTATGGTTCAGACTTCTGCGTTTCAGAAAAATCTAAGATTCAAACTTATAGGTAGATTGACATCTGGGATCGATGGGTAAGGAACGATCGGGTTATGGAAATCGATCAACTGGTAGAGAGACCGCAGAAATGTGGAGGGTGCAGACGACACTACGGTTCTCATCGATGGTAATGGTTGACGCCTAACCTCACAATCAGCGGACAGGCTTGTAAAGCGAGAAGAATCAAGCAGAGATGGAAGTTTTTCCAAGGCCCCGAAACCTTATGGTTTTTTTTCAGATGCCATATGATTCCGGTTAGAGTTAAGATGCATTTCCCCTTCTTCGGACATAGCCATTTAACAACGAAAACTTCTCAACTCTCAGAGGACTAAACAGAATAGTTCATAGTATGATTACCAGTTCGGGAATAGTGGAATCTTGGAAGAGCTAAGCCAGCGGAATCAAGCCATATGAACTTTATACTGATAGAGAACTGTACGATTTTCCAACTGCATCGCATCATACATACATCATACATCGCAGGAAAACTTCTTCTGTAAATGAATTGGAGTAATGGTGGACTTGTTTAGCAGTGAAAAGTGGGAAGGGTGCACCTCAAACCTAAAGTGACTTTATGATTCCTCACTCATTCGGGTATGAGGGGTTCATGCGTCTTTAACACAAGATTCGTTATGTTTTTCTCTCAGCCCCTCGATTTCTGCATTGCGCTTGTCTTTTCCACCCCATCGATTCCTGAGATCAGTTGTTGCGCAGACTTGGAATTTGTGATGACCAGAAATGGAGCCATTTTAGGAGTTCGGAATGCTTTATCAGGGTTTGGCTCTCCCGAGCTTTGTGTAATGCATTCAGCAGTTTCATTTAAGAGTATGGCGGGGTAATCCTGGTTTAGGTAAGTTGAAAGTTATTTTAGTTTTAAGTGAAGATGAGTTACCAAGCATTTCATTCGCTCCAGAGAACAGTTGTTTTCACACCAAGGTAGACAAAGAAGTACCCGTTAGTGATGTCTACATGATTTCATGTTATGCTTGAAGAGTTTCTGTCAAAAATTGAGCACTTTTGTCACAACACATGCCTTGTTAGTTTCTCGTGCTGATTCAGTAGCTTTACTCCCCTTTGCTATGATTAGCTTTCTTTAATCCGATCAACATCTATGAAAATTCAGCTCAACAAATCAACAAAAATAGCCTCAAGTAGAAATTTCAATATGAATTTCGAAACAAACTAAGAGAAGCTTAGCTTGAATAGTTATGTTTTTTTCTTGCATTTGAAAGGCTCATGGTTTGCGACAATATCCTGCTCACCGTTCGAATTCTTCAACTGTGGGCTGGGAAAAAGAAATGTTTCTGCCAAACAAGCGGATCGGGAACTGCTTCAAAATATTGTAGTAAATGAGAGATCAGCAGGTAACCTCAGCTGTGTTGAAATATAGCGTAGTGAATCAGATTCTGCTAGACACAGCATCTCACGAGGCCATTAGTGCCGCAAACGCCGCGCACGTCTAGACCCTAGAAGNAGTGATGTCTACTTGCCACTTGCGGGGTCATGGTACCTGCCGGCTCGCTCGAAGATGTACCATCCTCCTACACGGCCGAAAACGCGAACATCGCAACCATCAATCGCACCAGGGTGCCACACTACGTTTTTTTTTCTGGTCCTTTTGCTTCACGTTCATCATATTGAAAACACAAATGTTATACATGAACTCCTACTCATCCATCATCAAACATCGTTAAACAGATGGACTTCCTATTCTTTTCCATCCTACAAACAGCCATAAGTCAGGTGACACAGATTTGTAGCGACTGGTCCAATTTCTACAATCCTCTTCAAACTTTACTGCTAGTCTTCATTGTGAAACTGAAACAAATCATGTCATTCGTCTCATTTTACATTAAAAAACGTACTATAAACTCATCAGTAGCCAAAACATTCCTAATCGTTAGCTGAACTGCTTCTTTTTGGACCGCTAACATTGATCTGTTTTTTCCTATCATTGACAATTGGCAGTCTTCTTTTTTTGTAAGACATCAAAGTAGAATGACATCTACGTTTTTTGAACTTGCGTTTGTTTACCCAGTTACCTTCATCCGTACCTGTTTACAGGTTATTTATCAATCTAAAAACATCACGACGTTGCGTTGATATAGTAGGCGTTCTGGTCCGCCTGGCCTTGTCATTGAAAGGTTTCGGCTTTTGAATAATGCTGTTCGATGCGTTTGCTCTCAAAAAAGGTGTTGCGCAACCCTTGCTGAAATTGAATTTGTCTAGAAAAAGCGTTCAAAGTTTGAGCAGTCATTATTCACCCCTCCACACCAATTTTGCCTGGCTGAGAATTATTCCATTTGATTTGTTATTTTAATATTGTTATCAGCCTTTTTTTCTGAAATCGAAAACTGGTTCAAAGTCAGTGTTGCTCTGTCGCACGGAAATGACTGACTCGACACTGACTCGAACCAAAGAGTGGTGTTGTGATAGCCACAAAGATCATTCGTGCACTGGTGATTACTTGTCTTCCAACATCAAATCGATTCGGTAAGCCGATGTTCATGAAGTTTCTACCCTTAACTGATTTTTTTTTGAGATGCCATTGTGTTGAGCACTCTGTTTTTCTACCGTAAACTCCACATGAGAAGGAATCCCTTACTCCATCTATGCCAGTTTTCTGTTCAGCTTGATGTATTGATCAGATTCCATCCTGATCGTTCACCTTAACCAACGCGTGGCTCACTCTGAAGGATTCTGGCAAAGCTTTCATTTTTATAGTGTGACAGGCATACCATACATTCGCATCGGCCCTGTTGCTCAGAAGTATGGCGTAGTAATGCGGCATAATCCATCGCAATGAATACTTTTTCCGCTCATGAAATGGTTTATGGCGTTCTGGAATTGAGGGAAGGAGTGGGCGAAACGAGTGCCGAGGAATTTTCAGTCACTCGGGAGTAATGCGCTCCCTGCACTTTACTGCTGCGCACACTCGACAGTTTTTTTTTTCTTTTGACGTTGTTGAACATACTTCTCTAGTGATAACGTACGAGTGCAGTTGCTTGCATCCGCAGAAAACTCAGTCACATCAACTGTCATTTCGAAAGAAGCCTCGCATTTGTTCCAACAGTTTTATTGTTTCGCTTTCTGTGCTTCATTTTTATTCCCAAGCAGGTTCAAACTTCGTGGAATTGCGGCTCTCTTATGGTTCCGAAGTTTCTCGAATATGTTAAACCAAGTAGGCAGTGAAATAGCAAAGAAACGAAATCACCGGTCAAAAACCTGTGCAATTCCATGGCTGTTGGCGTTTGAATTGAGGCTGAAAGTCTTGAAGAAAGAATTGGGTGAAAATGTAGTTGGGGGGTGCCAGCGCCCCTCCGTCACGTTGCTCTGCGTCTCTGACCAAGGCGGCAGAGTATCCAGAGACCGCACTGGAGCGCGGCTAGGGTCTCTCGATAGTGATAGGGAACCTATTCTTTGGCAAGGGGAGGAGCTCCGGGGTGGGTGCGAAGTAAACGTTGTGCANCAGTCTCTGGATACTCTGCCGCCTTGGTCAGAGACGCAGAGCAACGTGACGGAGGGGCGCTGGCACCCCCCAACTACATTTTCACCAAGAAGAATTGTGAACAGCTGGTGCGCTTTACAGTTCAAAACTTATTCCGGTCTTTCTCATCCCGAGGGTGCTTGTATTCCAAGCTTAAGTGTTCTTTGTATTTTCGGTCATTTATTTTTATCCCTGACTATGTTCTACCGTCGTTCGAATACATTTGGAATCTTTTATCTTTTGCAATTATCTATTATATTGATATCTTCTTGGTTACAGATGGTTTCTTTTGAATTACACGCTGGAAAAGTCATGTTTGTGAAGGCTACTGTCCCACTTTTCTTGGCAAAGAATAGTATAACCATTGTGTATATTGTCGTTGAATTTGTGGTCAACCGACGTATTGTGCTCGCAAATTGAATTTTGTTGCCATGCAGATGGCTCAGCTCCCGGCCATGAGCGACCAAAGAATAATTGTAACG